GCAGTTACTGAAGTGCCAAGAAGAATCAATTTTATTTTTGTTTGAGGGGGCGAAAAATAACATACGGCAGAAAACCACTGCACCACTGGGGCTTCTAGTTCGGAAAGGGAGAGGAGACGAAAAGACAAAATGCAGCCACCTTTGCTAGATGCAGCCTTTATCCGTGACCTGACTGCGTTGGTGTGGTGGCTGCACAGCAGGGCACCGCAGGGCGTGGTGCCACGTAGCCGCTGGCGCAGTGTCACCCTGGTCCCTGCCACCACCGCTCCTCAGCAAGCTGTCCTCACCGCTACCTCCCGCCGGCGGTGGGAGCAGCTGTGGTTGTGTCATCCCAGCTGTAGCCTGCGTTGTCCTGCAGTAGGGCAGACCTGAGTTACAGGGCCATAGAGAAGTGTGTCACTGGTAATTGCATGGCTTAACTCTGAAATCTTGTTGGAGTGTTTTAATTTCTTCTGCTGGGTGCAGCCAAATACTTTGGGCATTGGAAAGGAAACATATAAAGGATGGGAATGATGTAGGGGAAGTTTTCAAGTACATTGTTGGAGTGTGTGGTTACTGACATAAAAATAAATAAATGTATACAACACTGTATAAATAAATAAAACATTGGTTGGACTGGCAGTTATATAGCCAATATCTCCTTTAGTTCCTATATGCTGTATGTGAAATTGGACACGATGTATTTGAGAAATTCACATCCGGCAAGCTCAGTTTATGCAGCTCCTGTTAGGAAAGCTACCTCATCTGTCACGGAAATGACCACCGTAGAGAAGTATGTCGGGTAGTTACGCAGGAGTCCTGCTGATTCATCAAGGTAAAATGGGAGTCCTCTGTCATTTGCAAGTTAAAATGCTGGAAGGGCTGGTAGGAAATCTGCAGAGACAGGGCAGCTACAGGAAAATAAAAATTGTGCTACTTCATATTCAAGTGATTTATTCAATCAGCTGGACCTTGCAACCAGACCTTACAAACCTCCCTGTGGCCAGCTTAGCTTTTGAGGATGTAGATGATGGATGTGCCATCCTCAGAGAGAGAGGAAGGCTCTGAAGGACAACTCACAGCCTCCTCTGGCTCTGCAACCCCAGTTCTTGGTTTCCCATCCCCGCTGCCTGAAAATGCCAAGCCCTTGGGTGAGTGTTGTCTGACCCAATTCAGTGAATGGTGCGGTCAACCCGCCTCGTCGTGTGGTTGCTCTCCAACATGTGTTGAGCCAAGGGGCTGTGCTGGCTGGCTGGGTTGGGCAGACGCTCCAGGGCACGTGGTCCTGAGCTGCTGGAGCAGCACCCTGCCCAGCCAACATCCCTGGGTGCGGGTAGGGTGTGGGCCCCTACCCTGAAGCTCTACTGTGAGATCTGTGCCTCGCTCCCTTGAGAAGCAGAGAAGGTCCTTTTGTTCGCTGCTCTGTTCTTCCCTGAGCCCCACGAGCTGGCTGCTGCGTGTGAAAGATCTTAGTGATCCCAGCGGGGGACTCGGAGGGGCCGACTTCTTCCCTGACCTCCCCGTGTGCAGGTGGCAAAGCTGGCTCAGCTCCGCGTCGCATCTTCCTTGAGCGGGGCATCATTTTCTCCTCTGCTTTTGTGCAGCTAACGAGCATGCAGCAGTTAGAGGCTACTGTACCTTTTGATTTTTTTTTTAAATAACGTTCAAAAATACATTTTTTTTTTCCTAATGGTACCTCTAGCTCTTTGTCGTTTCAAACTTCTCTTTTCAAGCTGTGTTGTTCTGTCCTGACTGTGAGGTTACAAACTTTTCATTTAAGAAAACGTGAAAATTACATTCCCATGACTCTGGGGCTCGGGCTTTAAAAATACTCTTGATACTGCCAGAGATGTTAAGGTTTTGCTTTGAGAAAAGATGTTATACCTATTTCTTAAAGAGACGCCTCTAATAAAGAGAAGCGACTGGAATACAGATCCGTTCCTTCTCTGGGAGAACGATTCAGCGTGTGCTGTAGAACAGATTCTGTATTTTGCACGTGCTGTGTGCCGACATTCAGCATGTATGGCGATGCCGTTAGGCTGCATCTGTGCCTTCCCAAAATAACTTCATTTCAGCACGCTTTCAGGTTGTGGCAAACGTGCTGAAAACACTTCACGTTAGCACGATGCTCCTTATATGAATTTTAGCGATTTCCATGCTGTTAGCTCTGGCCCGCTAAGCAGCTTCCACCGAACGAGCAGGGAGCGGTAGTGGATAGGTCTGTGTGTGTAAGTCTCTTTCGGAGCAAACGGAAGCAGTCTGCTGGCAGAGTCACAGCAAGGGATGAATCTGGATCAGGTTCATTTGGGCATCAAGTGTCAGCTTGCTTCCAGTAAATGAGAAAGGATTTCATTTCTTCCACTTTTATTGTAACACCACCACGCGTCAGAGAAGAGACATCCTTAAATAGCCCGGGAAGAAAATCCGAGGCGAAGGCAGTTGATTTATTAGCGTGAGGCGAGGAACGGTGGCAGACTCAGGAGCAGGGGGCTGCAGGGATGCTGCGGCGGTTGGAACTCGCCTGCGTTTTACCTGCGAGCAGGTGTAACCCGTGCTGCTGCAGGAGCGTGGAAGGGAATACGTCTGCAGTCATGAACTGCCAGAGGCCAGGTTACTTCTGGGCTTGGTTTCTTCGTTTCCTAAGTACAGACCTGCTCCATGTGGCTCGGTAAGCAGGTTTTGGATCAGCACTGGTGAAGCCAAGAAAGCGGGGTTTTTAGTGCAAATTTTATCCCCTTTCCAAGACTGCATGTTCAGTTGAATTCAGGTAGGTATTTGAGCGAAGCCTGCAGTGCTCTGTTTCTCTGTCTGCGTCTTGCGTGGACCTCATCCTCCAGACGTGACAACACGAGCGCTGTATCTGCTCCTTTGAGCAGCACCTTTTTAGTGGACATGAAGAAAATAAGACCAGACATAAATGATTAATGCAGAATCTTGGAAGAAAATATTGCAGGGTGCCTTGCTGTTTGATTACAAGCCTTGGAATTAGTCAACATTTCCATAATTCTAAACCAATATACACCTGTTTTCCCACTGTGATGTGAAGGCACAACTTAATTTAACAGAAACCCCGCTGTGCTAAATCTCTCATTAAATGCCAAGCTAGTTCTGTAATTTAAAGTTGCAGCACCACTATTTTAACTGAATTGCCTTTGTATTATAAAATTAATAAGAAGTTAATGATGCACTTTGCTGTATTCTCTCGGATTTTTTTTCACAGCAACAACAACAAAAAAAAGATAAAGGAGAAAAACATGTCACCAGCTGACATCTCAAGGCTTTTCTGGTTTTAATCATTTTCCTGAGGATAAAATTCATTTAAAAGATTTTTTTAAATTTTTAAAAACTTTCAGCATAAGCAGGATGAAATATCTTCTTTTTACTCGTGATTGGTATAATCTCTCTGTTAGTCGTAATTTTCCTTGTCATAGAATGGAGCTTTTATCTTTCCCCCAAAATGTATTTAGATATCACTTGTTATGGTAGGATTGCTACTAGGCAGAGAAGAAGATACACAGTGTTCGAGAAATACAGGCATAGTGAGGTAGGTGATGCATAGCAACGCAATAGGGACAGTTCTCCTCTGTTTACTTGGCCCTGGCATCACGAGTCGCTTTTATGTCTTGTAAATGAACGACATTTATTTCTAGATGTATCTTTTCAAATATAGCTCATATCCTAGCTCACAGGGATGCGGCTTGTATTATTCAACTCACAGTCAGGTTTTCTTGGAACGTTGGTTTGGATTTTGTTTTAAAAGACAGAAGGGAGAGAAGGGAAAACCTCGATTTGAATGTAATAATGATCTTGGAAATGTGCTTCTTGGGGATGAGATGTAGAACTGAAGCCTTAACTAGTCTCATCTTCATTAAGAATCTTGTGGCTTCGTTAGAGGTATTTAACTTCTATTCCCTAAACAAAATAATCCAATAAATTCCACCCATCTAGCTTTATTCCGTACCTTCAGTCAGATGTAATAATCTTGGTCCCCCTGCACTCTCGTTTGCTGCTTAGTGGAAATTGGCTGCTGCAGAGAGGGCAAACCCCGAAACGCTGCGTGCAGGGACGTCTTCAGCTGCCTGTGTGGCGCTGGCATTTTTTGTTTGGTTTAATTTTAACATGCATTAGTTTAAAAACGGAATGTGCTTTGTTTTGCCAGCTAGGGAATCCGGTAGGATTTCCTGGCGAGAATGAAGTGCAAATAGGTGACGCGAGAGCGCTGGGTGCTGGTTGGATGCTTGGAGCCCAGTAGCTGAACTAATACACCTTTAATCTCATGCAGAAGCTACGTGAAGTCAGGAATCGATGGGAATCCATTTGTAAAATCTCCGCCTAAAACTCTTTGGAGTCTTTGTTCTGCGTTTGAAGCTAGATTGAGCTGACATGGCAGCGTTTATTTGTTGCCTGTCTGTCTATTTTTGCATTTATCCTCGTAGCTGAGGTTATCACAAAAGATAATTAACAGCCCGCACTGATTTAGGCCTCAGCACTCCTGTGCTTTTAACAGACTGATGGTTTACGTGGTGCTTATTTCAAGTGGGATATACGTATTCCAAGTAGCAGCACACCCTTTGTGTTGAAGTTCTGGCATAAAATTAGGACATCAGCTGTATGAATCTAATTAAGGGTTTAACAATGGAGAAATACAGTTTTGAGAAAGCTCTTAAAATTTTAAAACAGCAAGGTGCAGTTTGTAGGATCTAATTGTCTTGTAAAATATTAATGGCTTCCTTTTTTGCCAGATGTTGTCGAGGGAAAGATTTTTCAGTTTTGACATTAG